ATGGCTAAGTATGGGGCAGTTTTTGTACCATACGTTACTGTTTTCAACATGAACTCTTGAAGCTCGTCATTGTGAATCAGTATTTGTCGGTACATCTTCTCGATATCTGCTGTGAGGGCTACTTGATGGACTTAAAACGCAACAGTGTGGAATACAAAGTAGGTTAGACAACTGGGCCTTTCATGAGCAAGTCATTTAAAGACTTCCCTGTTGAACATATAGTAGATGCATCAAACACTACTCGTAGCTTTGTGGTTGTACTGGTGTTTTTGAAGACTGCATTGTGAGGTATGTAATATCCGTTGGGTTGGGTTTCATTGAATTGTCCAATTGTTTCCATGTGCCATAATTTCAAGTACTCCATCAAAAATTTGTCCTATTCATTTGACAACACCTTGTCTTTGATCAATTTCTGTTCAAGATTAAGAAATCGTTTGCTGTACTCAGGATCAGCTGAGCTTGATTGTATTTCACGAGGGATGTTTAATTGATTTGTGTCAAACCCCTGTGTTGGAAGGTCGCTGGTGATAGTAGGCAACACATGAAGTTGCACCTGGAACTGTGTCTGGACAAACCGAGATTGCACTGTACCCATACAACATTTGCTGGTAGATGATTTTGACTGCCCGAAACCAGTAATAGGTACCGTATTGTTGACTATCTGTAACCCGAGGCGTCGAGCCAGTTTGTTAGTGATGAAACACAACTGTGATCCTGAGTCAAGTACTACCCTGCAATGCATCACGTTATCTGCTGCGTCATTCACATAAACCACAGCTGTAGCCAATACAACCTGAATAGTGGGCTTACAATGTACTGTTCTGTTTACAATACCACAACCGACTACATTGGGTGGCGCACTACTTGAACCCTGAACTGACTGGTTATCGTCATTGCGTTGATTTGCCTCCTGCTCATCATAGCTGAGGTGTAACAAAGTGTTGTGTCTTTTTCCACATTGGGTGCATGATGACGATCTGCATTGACGCACTTGGTGATCAGATCGCAAGCAGTTGAAACAACACCGATTCTTGAATACAACATCTCTGCGATCCTCAACTGACAAATTTTTAAAATTCATACATTGAAATAAGTAATTCTCAGAGTTACATGAGACACACTTAGGTTTGTTTCGTTATATTTGGCAAACAGAATTTTCTTGTCGTTAAATTTAGAAAGTTTCTGTTTGTTGAACAATGATGGGATCAAACTTACAGGCACTGGATAGGAACCAACCTTGTGGCTGTTCATTTCACCAGCTTCATAAGCAGCGATTCTGTTAAACAAGAACGATTTGATTTCAGTAAAGGATGGCAAGTCCTTTTTATTATAGTGTAGCTGCCACTCGGCCACTGTGGCGCTGTCGATGCGACTACAGATCAATGTTACTAACCACACATCCCATGACTCAACTGGTTGAGTTGCAGCCCTTAGTGCGTTGACATTCGACATGACGATGAAGATTTTGTAGCTCTGTGTGAGACGCAGTATGTACCCTTGGTGTGTCGAAGAGTGACCGGATGTGTGATTGAATAATGGCACCCTTGTTCTCATATCTGTTAATTAGTGTGTTGTAAGCTTGTAAATAGTTTTCTCCGGTCGTAGGGATTGACCTGATGACCTCACGAGCCTATCCTTCTAAGCAACTCTTTAAATAATGCAACCGTTGAACTGGGGCCAGTTTCTTGTTTGTATGAAACATGGCATTAAATGAGTCTATAAACGACGTCTACATCTGCCAGTCGCCATTGAATTTTGGTGCATCGATTGGCGGAAGTCTCATTAAACTTTCACCATCAGGTCTTGTCACCTCACTGATTGATGGAGCACTTGAACTATTCTTCTGCTTCGAATCCAACAGACTCATTAAAGATGCCTTGACACTGAACAGAAGATCTTTGTGTGCCAATCGTTCAGTAATACGTTGCCTCGTCCCTAGCTCGGTTTGAAGCAGCTCAAATCTCTCAGAGATATCAGGCAAGCATTCGATCCTTACACGCACCTCGTTGATGTTACCAGTTGAAACATGAAACTGAGAGCTGAGTCTTAAGTTTCTTCTTAACCGCTTTGGCAGCCATACCTGTTTTTACAAAAAGAAGTGTTATGTACCAAGTGCTTATCTCACAATAGAAAGAATAACAAAAAACAAGTTAAGAAATTACAAAATTAACAATCCAACCACTGTGATTGTTGACTGATTTTTACTGACAGCGTGGTTTAGACTTAATTTGCCCTACAAGACAATAATTGGCTGACTTAAAAATAAACTATTGGTACTGTCAGTCTATGATTTACAACTTTTGATTGTTACAGTGATTAACTAAACTACAATAACCTGTAACCAGAGGGAAACAACAAACCAACTATTACACTTACATGTTTAACATATCAGCAAAGAACTTGATAAAGAATTAAATGTATCACGTCGAGGTTACCAAAAAATGTATGCGCGCTCGATGCTTGATGTATCAAACGATACACCAAGTAAGGGTAAATATAGGTACCTACTATAAATATATAAAATAAAAAGAAATACCTACCAAGTTGCAAGAACCTGAATAATGAACAAATCATGTTTTAAAATGCAATTAACAAATTTTCGATTTAAACAAATTATATCAGAACTAAAAAGTAAAAAAAAAATCATTTTTTGTATTTGAAGATTATTTCAAATACTTTTGAAAAGTATTTGAGTATTACTCAATTTATTAATTTAGACACCTAATTGACTACCTACTTACATATACTATGAATTTGGTGCATTTAATTCCAGTGTTCAAGTATTTTTCCAGTTTTTTTCTTATGTTAGGTATATTTATGTTATTTTGTAAGGTATTTTATTACTGTATGGGTGCTCAATGCTTGGTGTATCAAGCGAAACACCAAGTACACCCTCACGCCTATGAATAATAATGCAGTAAGAAACAAGTAAGGTAATAATACAGTGTTTATTGTAAGCCTCTAATGGTTATAACAATGCTTGATACATGGTGATGGGCGGCAATAACAAGTGCACTATGTATAATAAGCCTGGTTAGCTAATCATAATAGCAGGGTTGCCACTAGAGTTTAAAATTGGAAATAGTTGGAAAAGTGACTAAAAAATTTAAAAAAGTGACCAAAAAGTGACGGATATTTTTTAATTACAATTATTTATTATTATTTTAGATTATTAAATTAGTATTTTAATTTAATTTAGTATAAAATTCATTAGAGGATGGAAATAATAAAAGACATAAAACCATATTATTATTTAACCGAAATATTTTTAATTAATTAATTTTTTTTTTATTTGGCCATTGGCTTTTTTTGGTTTTTTGTAAGTTTTTATGCCGGTAGGGGGCGGATGCGACACTTGTTTCTCTGACACTTGGCCTCTCCACCCCCATTTTTTTTTTTAAATTTATTCTTATAAACTTAGTAATAGTACATATACAAAACAAACAAATAACATATTTCATGTTAATAAATTAAGATTTTTCTTAGTAACAGTCTTTTTTTAATTATTGCTTCATATACAGATAGGAACAAATAGTAATTTAAATTTGGTTATGTTGAAATCTAAGTTTAACAAAATTTATACAAAAATATTGTTTTAATAATTGCTTATTGAATATATCAGATGTGGTATAATACATTGTCTATTGTTGATTATATTAATAAAATACGGTTGCAAACCTACACCCATGGTTTAAAATAAGCCATATAAAATATTAAAATTATCAATTTAATATACAACATAAAATATTCATATATAACTCATTTTATCAATATTTTATACATAGATTTATACAAAAAAACGCTAATTTTAAGAAAACTATCATTCATATTTTAAAAAAGGGACTTTTAATGGAAAAAGGGGACTTTTAGTTGAAAAAGTGACTTAGTGGTGACTTAGTGTTAAATAGAGAAATATAATAATAATGTTATAACGTTATAATGTTATAATGTTAAAACCAATTGAACAATGAGCCTGGTTGGCTACTTAAACTATAATAAAGTATGTCTGTTGGAAAATTACAACAGTAATAATATGAGCCTGTTGGCTGTAATACTAATTTGAACATAAATGGTCGACCAATACTCACAAAAACCTAATAATGACAAACGGTGCCGCCGAGACGGGAACGTTGATGCGACCACACCACCGCCTGTAGAAAACACAACCACGAATCACCCGTCAATGCTTTGACCACCCTAGATGGGGAAAGAGCTGTTAGAATTGTTGTACCTATGTTTATACAGTTACCAGATAATGTGTGTACCGAGTGCATGTATTGTGATACACAATTGCACTGTACAAGAACGTCGTGGTCTGCGGTCGGCGGCAGCACAGGAACGATGAACCGACAAAAGGTGAGTGGACGGCGGTTGAAAAAGAGTGTCAAAGGTGCTTAAGATTCAAGCTCTTTTCTCGAACGAACAAATTAGTAAATTACACACGCACACGTGAATTTTAACAACGAAAGTGACGGTGACAGTTGACTGAAGAAACACAAATCATATTGGATTTCTCCCGTTATCAACACAACACAACAAACCAGATAGCAAGACAAACACATGATAACAGTGGTAAGTGATAAGCACCGTCAACACAAAACACCACATTGAAGCCTGTTTGCGGCGCAATCAATTACCTCCGTATCATATTTTAATGTGTACCAAATGATTTCCGGATTACAGGTAATAACACACTAGGCGATTTGAACGCGCGTCTCCGCGCGTTTCGAACATCGCGATTTTAAGACGCGAACGCGCGCTCCTTACACATTAGACGCGTGTCGACGCGTCTGTCAACGTTTTAAAATCGCGCTGCGCTTTCACACTGGACGATTTGTGAGCGTTTTTCAAAAATAAAATAGCGCCAAATGTTATTTGAACCACTCAATTATTTGTATTTTGTTGTAGACTAGGTTAGTACTGTTGTTACCGTTCACCGTATATGACTGCGGTTCATTTCTTATTTAACTTTTCGTTGTTTTCGTTTAATTTTTTTTAATATGGAAGTGTTAGACGATATAGAAGCTGCATGCGTTTTGTTTGCATTATATGAGGAACATGAAAGTAAAAAACAGAAACCAAATAAAGTAAAAAGACGACATTGGGTCCATCCACTTAATCTGAAAAGACCAGAAAATGGCCAGTTCCAGGTTACATTTATGACTCTGCGTAGGTAGCTATCCAGAAGAGTTTATGAAGTATTATCGTATGTCGATAACATCGTTTGATGAGTTGGTAAGTAGAAATAAGTCATTTTTAAGTAACAATAAAAATAAAAATATTTTTTTTAAATTTATTTAATGTTTTATATTATGTTACAAATACTCATTACCTACCACTTTTGAATACCTTGTTTTTCGTCTATCTATAATAAATTAACAAATATCTGTGTGGCGTCTTCTTAACAAAATATAATAATAATTAAATTGTTATTTAAGATATCGCTGGTAGGACCGAAATTGTCAAAACAGCATACTGGTTTGCGTGTGCCAATATCACCGGAAGAGCGATTGACCGTGACACTGAGGTAGATAATTTTTAAATACAAATTAAGAATGTAGACATTTGTATTTTTAATTTTTAATTTATTAAATTATGTTTTAAATAGGTACAGGTACACTTAATTTTTAATAATTATAGTAATGGTTTTGTTTTTGAGCAGAACGAATTTCAGTAGAGGGTGACTGTGGAACATAGTTTAATTCATCATTCACTCTTTGTGGAGAAGTAATAGTAGTATTGTTTATCATAGTTGTAGGCACATTTTGGGAAGCATATTGATGAGGAGTAATATTAAAATGTGGCATGTGTGATAGTGGTGTTTGATGAGAAATAGATGAAGATACACTTTGAGGATTATTATTTGTGGTGTAATAGTGTTGAGGGGGGAATGGGGAGTAAGGTTGATTATTTGGTGTATTATAAGGATAAGTAGGGGTTACAGAGCAGTTTTTTACTCGTTGTATGGCATTTAAAAATTCAACATACAGCCGAGTTTTTTGGTCTTCGTCCAACGATTTAATTTGAGGGAGTAATGACAACAAAAAAGATTTTTCCGGGTCTTCTGGTATTTTTTGGCGGTTTTCTAATATTTTCAACAAAGAGGATCCAAAATTCGATGTCGCAGTCTTCTTTGGATTTTTTTTCAATTTTTTATTTGGTGGCCTCTGCATCGGAATTGGCCATGATCTCTTCTGCAGTAATATTGTTCCCAACAACTAAATCCACATCTTCAGTCTCCCCACTTTCACCCACAGATACCTCGTCTTCGCTTGACTGTATATTACTTTCAGTCCTTTAAAAATATAATTTTATATAATTCATAATTTAGTTAATTGGATTATGTTTAATACTAATATATATAAATATACAGTGCTCGAATTGGAAAAAATAAAAGAAAGGGGGTCCAAAACTTAAAAAAAATTAGCGTTCCTGACAATGATTAATCTTAACCTAACCCGTGGGGATACCCACCTACCACACCACCACCCACCAACAACAACATTAGAAAATAAATAATACACCAATGTCCAATACCAATAACATTTACCAACAATCAATAAATATTCTTTTACTTCTCATTTATTAAAATAAAAATTAATGTTACACATTATTAACACAATTTAATTTTCGGAAAAATGTGTCATTTTATGTGTTAAAGACGATAAAAGTATCAGAATTACAATAAACCTTTAGTTTTTTAAATATTAAAAATCTTTAAAATTATATTTTTGTTGAACGGCGCATCATAAATATAAATTAAAAATTTTAAAATATCTCTTTTAATATTTAAAAAATTAAACGTTATATTAAAATTCTGATACTTGTATCGTCTTAAACTCATAAAATCACACATTTAGACGTAAATTAAATTTCAAAAATAAAATGTTTAGGTTGGTAAATCGTTGGGTGAAGTGAGGAACTTTTACACGTATAATAGATAGGAAATTACGATGAGACAGGCCCAATGACGCCTCGCGTCTTTTTTCAATTACTAATAACTTATTATCAATTATCATAAAAAACAAAACCATACATTTAGTTTTAACATCTTATTGAATAGGTATACACAGCTTCACGAAGGCACGAAATAAAAAATACAATATTATTTCAACAAGATAAAACGTTCCATCCCCCAGTTCTAAAGAAAATAATTAGAAGGAATGCGCTTAAAATATAAAAAAATTAAAGAGGAGCTCCGTACCCTTGCGTCCCCTCCCCCAATTCGAGCAATGCCTATAAAACTATAACATTTCATTCTATATACTTTTAAGGTGCCTACTTAATATTTATAATATGTGTGTGTGTTTGTTCGAAAACAGGCACATTTTTAGTATTATTTACGCAAAATTGGATTTCGACAAAATCGATTTTGATTTTTGGTGTAATTCTAAAACAAATGACCATAGATACATGAACATTTCACTGAATGTTTATATTAGCATATGCTATACACCATAATATTTTCTAAATATTTTGTTTTGTTTTGAGTTGTTTACGGACATTTTCAGTTTCCAATTTTTTTAGTTTTTATTTCCATAGATATCAATAAAAAATTATTCTTTGGTCAAAAAGCTTAACATTTTATAAAAGACTTCTAATTTTACAGTAACCGAAAAATATTAAAAATACATATTAATATATTATGCACAATTCTTTTTACAAGTATTTAAAGTTAGAATTTTGACAACATTTATAAAATTTAAAATTTAAAAACGATTTTGTAGTTAAAAATGTATTTATTTTGTCTGAGATTACTTACGTTCGATTTTGCATGGTTGGTCTTAAAAATTCAAGTACATTGGCATATATGTACGGCTTAGATCTTGTTGCTGCTTGCCCAGATTTGGTGATGCATTTACGACGGTAACTATCCCTTAAAGATTTCCATTTTTTCTGTAATTCTGCTACTATAAAAATAATAAATAAAAATTGAATAATACAACTATACATATAATCAGTTTTAAATTAATTTGATATAATTTAATATATACAAATTTATATTTATTTATATCTAACCTATAGCTACTATCATAAAAGTATGCAAATTTACTTATAGTAAATAAATCGTAGTAAATAATTAAAATAATTATATCATAATATACATGAAACGGGTGATAGATGATAAGACGTACCTACTAAAAATGTTTGATAAGTATAGAGCACTAAGAATCAAACATCTTCATAACAATATAATATACTGTTCGTTAAAACATACTTTTAAAGCAATAATCTGTATTTAATTATTCAGGTATTTGGCAACTGGAACTAATTTTTCTGCTCTCCATTTTGATTTCCTAATGGGCGTGTCAACAATTGGAAAAATTGTACGTGAGACATGTGAAGTATTGTGGACAATTCTTCAGCCTAAAGAAATGGTAGAGCCGACAATGCAAGATTGGTTAGACATAGCAGAGGGGTTTTATAGTAAAACTCAATTTCCAAACTGTGTGGGGGCCGTAGACGGGAAACACATTCGACTAGAATGCCCCCCTAAAAGTGGTACCTTATACTACAACTATAAGCATTTCTTCTCCATAATACTCATGGCAATCTGTGATGCAAACTATTGCTTCACGATTATAGATGTGGGGTCGTATGGCAAGGAGAGCGATTGCAACATTTTTAAGAAATCGTCATTTGGAAAAAAATTATACAACGAAAAAGTCAATTTTCCCCAACCTCAGTGTTTACCAGAAGATGATGGTGGTATTCCTCAACCTTACGTAATAGTAGGTGATGAAGCGTTTGCTCTTCATAGAAACCTTTTACGCCCTTTCCCCGGAAGAAGCCTAAACAATGAACGGCGTATATTTAATTATCGTTTGTCAAGGGCAAGACAGAATATAGAGTGTACGTTCGGTATTTTGTCTAACAAATGGAGGGTTTTCCATACGGCCTTATTAGTAGAACCTGCAGACTTTGGAGTTGCTATTACCAAAGCGTGTTGTGTTTTGCACAATTTCGTTCGACGCAGAGATGGATATTGCCCCGAAGATACACAGACTTGTGATATGGAGGATGCAAATGAAAAAGTAGGGGTTGGGAACTCTACATCGGTTGCAAAAGACGTAAGAGACTATTTTGTCAACTATTTCAATCAACCGATTCATGCATTAAGTTGGCAAAACAAAGTGATAGGCTAATATAATGAGGATAATATTATGCAATATAAATGTGTACCTATCATATTTATATTACCTATAACTATACTTATATTATTATTTATAATATTTAAAAAAAATTTTTTTTTTTTAATATGTTATTTATGAATTAAAAATATTGTCATTTGCACTGAATATTAAATAAAACTTACAAGTTACAACATAATATATTTTATGCTTACTTTTTTTGCTTTTAATAATGTCCTCAAGCTCGTCGAAATCTGCAATAGAAGCTCTGGCCACCTTGGTCCAGCTTACATGTTTGGCATTCTTATCATGGTATAACTTATTTTCTATAAATTGAATATGTAATATTAATTATTATGATGAATGACGTTTTACGTAAGTATTACACTGTATACAAACTCAGAATAACTAAGTTAGTTAGATTCTAAATTAAAATAATTGAATATGTTAATGAAAAGAACTTACCTATATTCCATATAGATTCCTCATTCGATACCTCATTAATAAATAATTCGTTGTCAAACATATTTGACAATTTTAAAATACGTAGGTTCAAATATGTAAATACTAAATAATTAACAACCAACAAGCAGAGTAAGATTACCGTGGTAAACTTAGTGGCAACAACTGTAACTTAGTAATATTATCGAACTTCGTTAACTATACGTACTATAACTGTCGTAGACAAATTATGAATGAACGTAAATAAACGCGGGTCAATCGTGGCGTCCGAATCGCCCGTGTGTTATCAAAAATAGAAATGCATTGAAAATGCATTGGAAAAATATTGTTTAATTTTAGCTGAAGATCGCGATCGAACGCTCAAAATTAAACAAGTACGTTTCGGCGCGTTCGAACGCGACCGAACGCGACCGAACGCGACCGAACGCGCGTCTCATTTACGTGTGTGAATAAGCCCATATAAAAGTATATGTTTAATTTTGGGCGATTAATCGCAACGTTCAAAACGCGCGGAGACGCGCGTTCAAATCGCCTAGTGTGTAATCCACTTTATTGCCCAAGAACAGGGCCGCATTTAGGGGGAGGGGCTGGGTACGACTGCCCAGGGCGCCAAAATTTTTTGGTCAGAAATTTGTTTACTTGTGAATTATTAAAATTTTATAATTTTAATTATTTTAATAACAGTATTACGGCATAATAATATAATTTAGTATAATAGTATTAAATATATACAGTGGCGGCGGGATAAGGATTATTTTTCATCTGAAATGGGTGGGTGGGTGTATAAATTTATACCTATAATCGTAAGACCTCAATACAAATATCATGACAAATATTATAATTTATAACTAATAATTATTAATGGCCCCCGCTGCTAATTATTGTTCTTCGATGAAGGGTACGACGATGGTAAAAACATGTAAAATCTACGATATGCTTCAAAGTTCAAAGCCTCCACAATTTCGCGCCGCCGCCGCGTCTGTTGTAATATTGTAGTATTGCTGTAATAGGTACCTAGGTAGGTAGTAGTTATTACCGAGCTGTACATTCTTACTCAATAATCTCCAAGGACGCACCCAAGGGGGTGGCTAACGGGCTTTAGCCCCCCCCCCAAATGGCTAGCCCCAAACATTTTGATAATTTTATTAGGTTTATTGACAAATTGACATTTTACTTTAAATTGTTATAAAAAAAAATTATCAACTATCGAAATTGAAACATTAGGTATAACATAATATTATATTATATCATTGATTTTATAATTTTATTATATTTATACCTGTCATTCCGGGCTCCGGGAGAGACCTCTGCTGTTGTCTATTATTATCAAACTTCAGAAGTACTCTCAGTATTGGGGAAAAAAGGACCAAGGCGTCTCAACTTTATAATTTAAAAGGTTAGACTTATAAAAAATAATCATTATATTATTCATAATTAAATAAATAATATTTATGTTTTACAGGTATAACATCAAGGCTACGGCGACACTTAAAACCGGGACAAAAATGAAAAAAATTTGTTAGTAAAAGATTGTAAAAAAGCTTAAAGATTTCTGTACATATTTCAAAATAAATACTACCTATTAATATTAAAATTATGTGAATTTAGCCCTCCCCAAAAAAAATCCTGGGTGCGCCCCTGATAATCTCGAACAACAGTATACTTTTTTAAGTTTTTCAACGCTGTTGCGTCTCGCGCGGATTGTGAATTTTCGCTCGGCAGCGGTGACATCCAGTGTTGAGCCGAGATAAATATAATTTTATCTAGATAAAGATAAAGATAAATTATAATAATGTTATCTAGATAAAGATAAAGATGACAAAATTATTTATTTATCTAGATAAAGATGAAAAAAAATTATTTTATCTAGATAAATTATCGGATAAATTTTTTTTCTATTGGTTTATGGCACTCATTTCTTATAAAATATAAGACATAATAATTTATGTACATTTTATTGTGGCCAACCTAGTCTGTAATCTGTATAGATTGTAAATATATTAAAAATAAATAAATAAATATTTTATTGTAATTAATAATCATATTTCATATTATTATTAATGTAAATAATGGTTGAGAAGTTCCAGTTGACAACACTCGTTTATTAATAACTGAAATGAATATAAAATTATACCTATTAACAAATTTTGAAAAAATTCGGCCATCTTGGCATATTGTGGCAAAATAAAAATATAAAAAGTTTTAAATGTATATAGGAAAAATAATAATAGATCATTTTTGAGATCTGCAACATAAGAGCATTTCAAATGTGCTGTCTTTTAATCGGTTACGTCTTGGAGTTAAAACCTGTATGGCCCCACTAAATAGCCGTTCAACTGGAGCTGATGATGGTAGCGTTGTATTAAACTTAAGGAAAACTTGCTTGACAACTTTAAATTGATCAAGCATCACACGATCTTAATATCGTTGATAATTATTAATAAATAGTATGTCTATTATTGTATATTTTATAACCAATGATAATAATATTAATATGTCATTTTTGTACAATCAAATTATTTTGAGTTATTTTTATATGTTATTCTGGACTGACGTAGTGCCGTCTGGTGGGTTTTATTTCTCGGTATAGATGTATATTTTGCTTTATAGATTTTAATTATAAATGTTTTATTATAATATGTTTATATAATATAGGTACCAGCATTATGATTTATGATATAACATAATATTAATTATTAAATACTACGAAAACATACAAACAAAAACTCGTAACGGTCGTAGCAATGTAGAATAACTTAATAGTATGTTATCGAAAATGTCAATAGTTATTAGTTATTAGTAAATACGACCTACTTATTACTTATAATTGTCTACCTATAGGCTATGATAAATAAAACCCGTTTAATAAATTAAATTATCTAGATAAATTCATCTAGATAATGGTGATTTTTATCTTAGATAACTGTGTTAATTAATATTCTCTATTTATCTAGATAAGATAAAAGATAAAAGAATATTTATCTAGATAATTTATCTAGATAAATTTATCTAGATAAACTCAACACTGGTGACATCGCAACTCACGCAAGCATAGGCGCAATTTCAACATAAAAACTGAGGGTGCTTAAGCTCTGCATTTCCTGGGTATTTAAATTAAATTATACCTATGAGGCACCTTATGATTTTTTTTGAGAAAAAATGGTTTTATGACAATTTAACATTGAATAGTTATAGTGCATTAGGTACATTTTATAAAAATTAATACAATAGTAAATTTTAATTTATTAAAAATTTAAAACAAATTATTTATATTTTATTCAAAAAATATGACAAATAAATATTAGTGTACAAGGAGTGTAACAGACAGACTTGACAAAAAAAAAAAAAAATGAAGCTACTTAAATGTGTGACAAAAATTGTTAAAATTATAAAAAAACATAAAAATATTGATTAGAACAAAAGTTATTCCAAACGTCAGTTATATACTTATATCTGTACCTACTATATTATATAATTCGGCATACACAATCACACAGGCTGTCGGAAACTTGGAACTCCGGTGAACACCAACTGACAAGTAATTCGTATATCGTATGTTTTTGTCCGAATTAGATGTGGGCACGGGAATGTTTCTATTAGTAAATACTCGCGATACTATAAATTGTCGTAGAGCTGAGTCGCTGCTGAACGTGATACACTGATAATAATATAACCGACCACAACTACCGGGCTTAGTAGAAACATTGGAAAATAATGATTTATATTCTAAATAGATTTTAATTCGATAAAATTACAATTGTCGAGTTCATTGTTTCATTCATTATACTCTGATACCCTCATGTCTGATGATAAACTGTTTTTGGTTTTTTTTTTTTGTAAAGAGAAGTTTTGATACATAAACACATATTTATTAGATGGTGCTAATTTTAAAATTGGGGGTGCTAATACCCCCTAAGCCCCCCCCCCTATTTGCGCCTATGAATTCGCAAGTGATTTCGTCGTGTTGCAATACATTTCGAGGTTCGAATCTGTGACGTATAGTAGGCATAGGCGTGCGCACGGTGCGAGCCGGTCAAGCCCAGGCTCGACCTGACACTTTTTAGGGGCATAGTAAAATGTGCGTATGTATTTAAATATTTTACTATAATGCTTATATTATAATAATATGTTCGTGGAGATCATGAAAATTTTGTTTGTCGTGATAGTATAAAAAAATCATAAATATTTGTGTGCACCTACCTAACCTAACCAGTTCATACATTTTATTAATCTAAAAAAAAACATTATACCTTTATAGGTACAAATACAATAACTATAGTACTATAGACATTAATAGGTTAATATATTATCAACATGTATGTTGGTGTGTTAAAAAAAAAAATTAGGGGCGCAGTCCAAATATTAGGGCACTATAATTGTCTAGGCTCGACCAGAAATTTAAGTCTGCGCATGCCTATGATAGTAGGTACGGTAATCGGAAAAAAAATCCCCGACCCTAGGAAAAAAAATCCCCAGCTACAATATTACTCACAATCACATGCAAATGGTTGAACAAATATATTTTGACAAATATATTATAATATAATATATTATATTATATTGTAAAAAAAATTATAAAAATATTTAGAATGATCGATACGTCAATTAATAATACAGTTAAAAACATAGTATACAAAATTATTATACAAAATATAGGTACCTATATATTTTATGTTGGTATAATTCTGTAAAAATTGAATCCCCGAAATAAAATATTGCGTTTTCTGTGACATTTTTACGATAAGCGGTTTAGTATGTACCTTTGATAATATGTAATATAAGGTAAAAGGCTACCTATCTTAATATATTATTTTTATTAAATATATTTTGTATAATATTTTTGTATACTATGTGTTTAACTGTATTATTTGACGTATCGATCATTCAAAATATTTTTATATTCTACACCTATTTATAACGTTGTTAAGTTAGTTATTTAATTTGAATTACACATAATATATTATCGTAATTTAAAACAAAATATTATTTATAATATATAATTTTTTTAACAATATAATATAATATTTTATTATATTATAATAGAATATAATATACGTATTTGTAATTAAATATTAATTATAGCCCCACCTCAATATTATACCAAAAGTAACCCGTGGGGGCTATGCCCCCCGGGTAATATACGATTGCGAATGGAACGATTGCGAACGGACCTTTTCCGGTAACACGATTGCGAACGTTTTTACCTGCCTTTAATCATGCGGTGTTGTCAGATTTGGTGCCAATAACAAATTTTTAAATAATAATTTTAAAAATAATCATATAGTAATATAAGGATTTTCTGCTATCACGCCGGGCGATAAGATAGATAGGTACGATGTAGAATATCTATAATATTATATCTTTATTAATTTGATGGAAAACCAGCTCAATTCGTATAGTCTGATAGTCGTGCAGTATTATTTGTAATTCAGTCGTATCGTGATCGTTTCGTTTCGTTGTCTTCAATATGGAAATTCAAATAATTATGTCCGAAAAAGGCAAGGAGTTGGTTCTCTTAAATAATTTTAAATACTGTTTTGTTAGAAAACGTAAAGATGGGTATATTAAATGGATCTGTACAAACAAAAATTGCACTGCAAATATTCTAACAACTGCAGATAAGAAGTCTCTGCATCAGTCATCTGGTGAACATAAACATTTAGTTAATAGTCAACAAAAAATTGAACGACAAATATTGAGGGAGAATTGTAAGAGAAAAGCCGACGATAATATTTCTACCAGACCATTAAAAATTATACGAAATGAATTAATTAAAAATAAGCCGACTGACATAATATATAGTGATATACAATCTGTACGTAAAGCGATGTACGATAAGCGACGTAAAATGTATCCTGTTTTTCCCATATCATTAAACGAAGCAATTTCTCAACTAAAACTGGTGGAAAATAATTGTTGTTTATTTAACGGAGATCAATTTGTTTTTGTTCCGGAAAATGACGAATTTGTTTGTATAACTACAAAAGAAAATTTAAAATTTATGACAACACAAAATGAGTTTTTTGGAGATGGTACATTTGATTTCGCACCAAAATTTTTTTTACAACTTTATACCATACATTCTTACACAAATGGTTTTTATGTGCCTATTGTATATTTTTTTCTTGCAAATAAAACAAAAGAAACTTATTTGAATATGTGGAAATATCTTTTGGAACTATGTCAACGATTTTTTAATTCAACTTTCGATGTTCAAAAACTGCATTTGGATTTTGAATCTGGAGCTCATGAAGCTGCAAAAGAAATATTTCCGAACGTGATGATTGTAACATGCCGTTTTCATTTAGGCCAAGCTTGGTGGAGAAAGGTAATATTTAAAATCTAATCTTATTTATAAATTAATACTCTTTACGACTTTGAAACATTTTTTTTAATAAAATAAAATATCTACAGATTAATGGAGATTCAAATTTGAGAAACGCATACAAAGATAACAACAATGAATTAGGTCAATGGCTAAAATTATTTTTTGGCTTACCGTTTTTACCCAGTGACGAAATTGAAGATGCATTTTTAGCATTAATAGCCGAATGCCCCAGCCTAGAAGAAGGTCATGTTTTTACAGACTATTTAGTATCAACATATATTGCACCTGATTCATTATTTCCCCCATATCTTTGGGCACAAGAACCCTCAGTAAATCCAAGGTATGATTTTAAAAAAATTTTAATTAAATTCTTGTTCCTTCCTACTTTAATTTTACCAGTTAATACAATATCTCTAAGTTTTTTTAATTATTTTTTAGAACTACTAATGGGCCAGAGAGCTTTCACAGGACGTACAATGGTCAGTTTTATAGCCCCCATCCTCCAACACACGTAGTTATATCAGTTTTAAAAGAAACACAAGCTCAAACTTTGACAATAATTAATTCTATTAAAAACAATGTACATAAGCCTATGGCCAAAAAAGATAAACTTTTAATTGAATCAACTTTACAAAATTATAATGATTATAAAGTACACAAAGATCTAATTTTATATTTAAGAAAAACTGGAAATTCCTACCAGGGAAAAAATTTAAAAAAAAGTAAAAATGTAGAAAATTTTTTTTAAAAACTATTATTTTGAGTGTATTATTATGTATAATATTATTTTTTCATTCAGAACTCAGATCTATGTATGTATGTATTATTTTATTTATTTTTAAGTTTCTAACGTACAATGAACACGTACATTTTGTAACAGTATTATTAATATTTATACAACGAAAACAGTTTTAATTAATCAACATTTTAAACATTACTTATTATTTTGTATAATTTTATTTTAGTTTGTAACGAAGAGTTGTTGTCTTAATTGTATTATTAATACCAATAGTTTATATTAAAAAAAAAAAAAATGTTTTAATTGAACTCCCGAACAAAACATATTCAGAAATATAAACTTGGCAACGTAGTCTATAAAAACGTTCGCAATCGTTCGTTTTTCGGCTAAAAAAACAAATTCTCTGATAAGCGTCATTCGTTCGCAATCGTGTTATAAAAATGGTAAAACGTTCGCAATCGTGTTGTACCCATGCCCCCCACACCCCCCGATCCATCATCTTAAAATTTTTAAACACCATTAATATCAACATTTATTTTTAATTATATATTTTATTTATATGCATTGTAAAATAATTATTAACATATTATATATTTATATAAGATTCATTTTTCTTTTGTTGATGACTATGAATTATTCCAAAATTATCTCAGGATCAATTTCTACATATTTTTTAATATTCAATATCGATAAATTACTAAATCGATCTTGCTCCATTGTAGATCTTAAGTACGTATTAATTCGCCTCATGGCAGAAAATGCACGCTCTGATGTTGCAGAAAAAATTGGCAATATATTGGCAATAAATTTGAACGATCCTATATAAATTTGGGAATACTTTTTTAGATAAATTTTCTTGAATGACACTAAAACTATCTGTTTTTTCAATATTGCAATATGAATTTTTAAAGACAGCCATTTCATTTTTAAGATCACATTTATTAATTTCAAATAAATCCTGAAAAATACATTAAAATTTAAAATACTATATTAATTTGTATCAGTTACTATAAATAACAATATATAAAGAAATAATTAGTTAGGACTATACAACAATTAATTAAGCTTAAATACCTAATTAATTTCCAAAGTCTAGAAGTATTTTTATTAAAAAAAATTATATATTTAATTACTTTATAATAATCAATCAGATGCAAACTACCATTGAAATCAAATTGCATCAAACAATCAGCTGATGTAGCAATTTGTAAACTTTCTGTAGAAAATCTACATTTCATGTTTGAAATGATTGTGTCCATGATAACAAAAAATGCGTTTAATTTTCAATAATTCTCTGCCTCAGAATCATTTTTGTTGGAACAATCCTCAGAGTCTGCTGCAGTCGTTACTGTAACAGCGTACTCTTTTAAAGGACTTGGTTCTTTTTTAAATCTGTGTGTACCCGTAACAGATTATCACTTTTAATCGCCAATTAATCAGTGCGTACATAATACGAACGATAAAAACGTGTATCAAAGAGAAAAGAGAAAATAAGAGTAATATAGGACTCTGATATATTAGCCACGATTTATAGAAAGGTAGAAATACAGCTGAATTTTTAAAGGTTTATTAATATTTTAGAAATCAATTAAATGATTTATTTTGGGGGGGCTATTAGAATTGGGGGGGGGGGGGGGCTAAGCCCCACCAGCCCCCCCTAGTTGCGCTTATGATGATATGTATTTATTGTGTGATATAATATAACAATGAATATTTTGAGAAATGTGCAATTATAATAAAATTCCTAAAAAAAATTAACATATTATAGGTAGATAGTTAGATATATATGCTATTATATTAACCAATACAATACATAAAAACATGTACCTAACTATAGTGTATATAATATATTAATTTAAAAAAAAAATGCAAAAACCTGCATGTTAAAGTGTCTATCAAGTCAATCATCACCGTTTATGACGAAACTAAAATGAGCAATCCGTCTATCACCTATATATAGTAGGTATATCACATAGAGTGGTATGTGCTTTCGCATGTCCGGTGCCTTTTCTTATGTAAAAAATGTAAAGTCGAAAACCGTGTTGGAATGTCTAGCAAGTCAGTCATCTCAAGTCAAAATACAGATTAGCTTTCAAGTTAGCCACCTAGATAGGCAATCCGAAATAAATTACAAACTTTATATTTATATAACAATCATGGACATTTTGAAAAAATATGCAATTATAATAATTCCTAATAAAACAAATATAATATGTGCCTATTTATTGTGTGATATAATATGAAAATGACTTATTACGTGTGCATATTATGTGCATATTCCATAAACATTTTATACCGATATGTATCGTTATACTCAAATTTGTTTCTTAAAATGTTGAATTTTAATGCAATATAAACATATTATATGCACGTCATGTATAAATGCGTAATCGTACAAGCTATACAGTTTCAAAGGAATCATGGTTCAAAATAATGAATATATTTTCCAAACAAACGCAAAAAACATGAATAATCAAAATACCTACTACGTGGCAACCATAGCGATCACAGCGCAGCCTGTGGCAGTTTAATCGTGCGACTTATTTCAGACCATTATTAATATTATTAATTTAACTAGATATCTAATTGGTATAGGTACCTTAACTGATTTTCAAAAATTAAAAACTAAATATCTATACCCAGTGGCGTGGTGAACGACGTTTACCTAATGCAATTGCTTAGCCCTAGAAATTTTTCAGGGGGGTGGGTACCCCTTGGCTCAGGTAAAGATAATAAAGAAAATATTAAGAATAACCATCGGCCAAAATAGATTGGAATCACTAATGCTTTTATCTTTGGAAAAAGATATTTCACCTAATTTAGAAAAAGCATTAGATAGAATGGGTAAATCTTCTCAACTGCTAGAAAAAGCTCTTTTATTTAAATAAATAAATAATTGTATATTTATGTGATAGTGTGATACTGTAAGTCTGTAAATAAAAAATGATATTAGTATATTAGTATATTACTATATACCTATATTATTTTTTATGTATTGTATTTTAATTATAATTAATGCATTATGTAATCTATTTTCTGATAATACACTTACACATAAGCAAGGCTTATGTTTACTGCATAAAAGACTGCTTCAAAAGTCATCAGAGTTAATTGATATTTTTAATTATACAATTACTATTTTATGTATAATTAATTATTATTATTATTTATAATAAATGTTTGATGACTTCCTATAACAAAAATTCAAAATCAGCATATAGAAAATTATACTTAGTTTGTGGGGGGGTGGAAGTGGGGGGGGTCATTACAAAGTTAATTTGCTTAGGGTTTGAAAGATGCTCGCCACGCCACTGTCTATACCCAATTGAGTTAGCAAGCCCAAATAATTTATAAGCATTAATTATAATTTTATATTTTCAAATGTCCTTTTATTAATTATTCACAAGACTAGGTATCAAATTAAAATAATTAAAAAACATAACCTATTAAAAAAAATGTTCTTATTTCAATATCATTATTCTTACTTATCAGTAGAGCTAAGTAAATATTAATATAATTTATTTTAATCAAGGCTGGATTTAATGAGTTAAAAGTTAATTTAATTTTAACATATTTACTTATGAGGATGTCAGCTCAATATTTGTTTACTTTCTCATACCAACGAGCAACATAAATAAAACGCTTTTAACTAAAATTGTTGTTTCGTTGTGTTTGAGTTATTTTAAGTGAAATCAAAATTTTTAAAGATTATAGAAGATAATATTTTTGAAGGTAAACGTATCGATTTTATATTTTGTTGTTATTTAACTTACAAAATAAACAAAATTTTTTTGTAAATTTAAATGTTGTTTAAGTTGTATGGAGACAATATTGAGATAAATCGATCATACACTCAAAAATATTATTCTGTATAGTTTTTATAACTTGATTACTTAAGAACATAAAAAAAATGATTTTCCGTAAATTAAATTTGTCTATGTTGAGTGTGGGCCAGAGAGAAAAAACAAATAGTGAGTTAGTTAGTAAGTAGATAACTTACTAGTTTTCAGTTATAACTTAACTTTAACATAACTAATTTTCATGTACATTAACTCAATTAAAATTAAGCAAAATAAATAGTATTTGTTAGTCTAACATTGAAGATTCTCTGAATTATTTATTTTGGTAAACTCTAAATTATGCAGTCATTTTTCAATTTTCATCATTGAATGCCATCACGTTTCATCCTATGAAGGATTATTTAAAAAAAGATTTAAATTCAACATTCAAATGGACTTGGACAACCTATTAAAAGCCTAAAATGTTTCTTTAGATCCTGAGTGAAACGATGAATGTATTGATTTTACAATAATGTGTTGTCTTTAATTTTTAATTTTTTCTTGTGTCTGTCATCACGTTTTAGGACAATAAAAGTGCTTGGATTTTCTTCAACAGTAGCTTTTCTGATAGGAAAGTGAATCTAGTTGGTACTTTGGGGGGGTCAAAAGTAAAAATTTCCCAGTAGTTTTCACAAACGCCGGGAAAAACAACATAACAATTAAGGAAAAGCGGGAATTTTTACGCAAAATCTGTTTTCGAGAAAATCGATTTTGGTTTTTAGTGCAACTCTTAAACAAATGACATGGTACATGAAATTTTGACTGAATATTTATATTAGCATTTTCTATACACCATAACATTTTCCAAATATTTTGACTTATTTTGAGCTCTTTACGGACATTTCCAGTTTCCATTTTTTTTTAGTTTTTTTCTAAAAATATCAATAAAATTTTATTAGTTGGTTAAAAAAGCTTGAAAATTTAATAGAAGGCGCCTAGTCACAGTTTTTTTTTATAAGCATTTAAAGTTCAAAAATTGACAAAATATGGGAAAATCACGAAAATTAGCAAATTATTTTGAGTTAAGAATTCATAAAAATTTTTCTTTTTAAATCTAAGATTTGAAAATCTAATACAAGATTACTCATAAGTTTTTCTACCTTTATCAATAAAAAAATCTCTACCGGAAGGTCAAATTAATTTTTTATGAGAGTTTGAAATTCAAATTTT